ATCATAAAAATTTGTCTTTCTACTTTTTTCCCAAGACTACAAATATTCAAGTACAAAGTAACTGGTTTCAACTGAAGTAGTAGATAATTAAGCGATTAGGGAATTGGGGACATAAATAAAACCCTGCTGAAAGAGCCGGAATATTACCTAAACAAAAGCTTAACCACACCAATCTCTAGCCAAGTACAGTGGGGACTGATTTCTTTGTAACATTAGACGTAATAAAGACAAATTTTTCCAGTTCAATGAGAATGACCAAAAAGTTCTAAATTCTGGAAATTTCCATGGACACCTGGTCCTAAAAACAAATTAGTTAAAAAACAAATAACTCAAGTTTAACAAATTTAGATTCTTACGGCTATGGTGAGAAATGTTTAACATTTACAACAACCCTGTCACTGCCTTTGAGATATACTAATGATACGACAAAAGAGGTATTTGACATTGACCGGTATCGGCACCCTCGGGATTTGGCTTGCATGCACACACCACACACCTACCAAGATCGTCTGATTCCACTCATGAGCCACTGGTAGAGAGCAATTTTAACTAAGTGGAATGTTTTAAGATTTAAAAAGTAAAGAATATTTTATTTTTACGTACGTTTCTTCACAAAATTATATTTAATTATAATTTTCTTTAAAAGTACATTCATACAATTGAATATTTTGTGCCAGATACATATNTAGATTTTACAAATACGTGTACCGGGCTGTGAACGGCTCACGTATTTGTAAAATTTAAGTGACTCGTACAACATGGAATTCATATAAAACGGAATAATCAATGATCTTATAGGGGGGTCGACTATAAATTAAAATTATTTTTATCATTATGTGTTTTTAAATTACCTTCTGGTGCAATCCATGCAGGACTGTACATCTTTCCTTTTTCTTGAAAAGAAAATTTTGCATCTGCCATATTAATTCTAACTATTAATTCATCATCAATCTGAAAAATAAAAATAATAACCTTTATGTGCCTACTTATATACAAATTTAAGTTTAAGGAATTGCATAATGATAGATTTAAAAATAAAAATATTTATTTAGAAAATGAAAAATATTATTTTAAATGAAAAATAATTCATATTTAAATGTTCTAATTTAACGAAAATCATAAAATGTGGACAAACCATTATGTGTTTACTACTAAGATAAAGTCTAGGAACAAGAGGTTCCAAACAATGAAGAAATGCCATGCCTCTTGCTATATCAATGGCAAATTTTAAAGCTTGTGCTGTATCTACAACAATTCCTGAAAAATAAAACATTATTAAATTATTGATTTTTCTAAATAATACATTTATTTTATAATAAACAAATTACCTGTTCCTTCATGTAAGATTGTATAAAGTGAACCATATGGCATATATTGATTAATAACAATTAAATTTGGTGGGCTATTACAACATCCAATTACTGGCAAAACATTTGGATGGGAAAAAATTCTTAACCGAGGATATTCATCATTAAAATCTCTTGATACTCTATTTGTGACTTCCCGCAATCTTAAAACTTTTGCAACTATATCATTACCTTCCAAAGTTCCTCTCCAAGTCTGAAAAAATTAATATTTGAAAGAACTTAATGTATATTCTATAGGTATACAGTATACAGTATCTATAAACCTATTTAGTCAATAAAACTGTTAATTTAACATACTAAGAGCATTGTCACTTTCCATTAGTTCCACATGGTATCATTTACCTTTAACACAAGATGTGTTGCCATTAAATATTGAGATTTGAGGTCCGCTACTCAGACTTGACATATTCAAATTAAAAGCTAGCAAACCTCCAGACTATATCTGTAGTAATAGTAGTAGTAGCTATATAAATTAACTAACAGAAATGAATTTCTATTTCAGTAGATAATTATCAAGAAAATGGATATTCTTCAAAACATGTTATGTTGGGAAATTAGCTTATTTTATAAATATCTAACAGAAAGAATAATTTGAAATAATAGAATATATTTATTTTTAATAATCATTTATTTAAGAAAATAAATTTGTAAAACTGTCTAGTAATTTAAATTATCTATATGCACTATTTTATTGTGTTTGTCACATTTTTAAGTTTTAGCAGAGAATTATCAATCTTTCAAAACTAATGAAGAAAAATTGTCAATTTACAAATAGAAAGAATGTTGATTTGTCTTGTATTGTATTGTTGTATTATTTTAACTTATAAGTAGCTCTTATGTTCAAGGCAGTAATATACAGATTAAAAATATTAAGGAATATTATAAACTACTTTACCTCTCCTGATGGAGTGCTTGCTAACTTAACTTGCAGATTTAATTCATTAATGTTAATGCCAGAATGTCGAGATAATGTTGCATCTCCTGCAAAATAAATTTTTAGCTTTAAAAAGTTATTTTCAACTACAGTATAATTTCAAAATAGCAGACACCATCTGAACTGAGAAATTTGTCCACTATTCTATTCAGAGGTATATGCTGGAAGCCATATTGTATTTTAACCTGGTTGTTATAAAGCGAAGAATACAAATTACAAAAGCATCAAATTTGTGTTAAGAATGTGAATATACCAAAAAGTATACATAGCATATATTATTTATTTTTTCAGCTGTAAAAATCTCATTCGAATGTTGAGTTACAAAGGCAATTTGTTATCCACTTCAAAGGGTGGGAAATATATTCAGAATTGTTACATTTATAAAGTCATTTATGATCTAAGCAACTAATAAAAATTGATACAGGGATTTGTCTGCTTTGTAGTTATCAAGTAGGTGTAACTTTTCCAACATTTTTTGCAGTTTTCAGTAACTGATTTATTAAAAATTACACTTTAGCCATCACAAAGCTGTTAACATGGTTAAGACAATGACATTTGTTTGGTGAAAGTTCAAAAGTTGTGTTATGAAGGCGATTTGCTGACCACTTTAAAATGTGCAAAGATATTCAGTTTTTTCGCATTTACGATGCCATTTACAATCTTAAGTTTCTTTTTCATTACTCTACTACTGTTCTTGTCAAATGAAACTTAAGAAAAGTTTATAGTTTTTTAGTATCATAAGCTTAATTCCATCAATAAGACAGAAGTTTAATAACATTAATATGTATAACAATAAATGGTGATTGACAATTTAACCAGATTAAACTTCTCCAACATATAAAGAATATTGTTGAACTTCCTCGCTCTTCCCCTATTCCTATTTTAAGCAAGTCTTTATTTGATGCCAATGGTCAAAATTTGTATCTGAAAGAATATTTTTCTTTCAATAGTTACAATAAAAAAAAAAAATAAGATTGGAGCATCAGTTTGTAAAGGTTACTGATACTGATATATCAAGAACATTCCACTTCACCAATATATTGATATGGTTATGATCTCTAAATTATTGAAAAAAGAAAAACCAAACATTCGTTTGGTTTACATTTTGCGATTCTATTTGCCACCTTTATTACTGAGTTAATGATTTGCATCAGGTCTGCTGGATGTTGCATCATATCATATTGAATTGAAAGCGGAAGCAAAATTATGAAAATTTTATATTTTGCAGCACCCCTATGAGGAAGCCACAGCTTCCTAGGGTGCCGTGGCACACACTTTGGAAACTGCTAAATTAAACAATTATTCTTAATTATCAACCAATCATATGCACTTGTTAAAAGTTTCAATTATTATATTTGTTGAAATAATTGTATTTTGTTTCTAAATGTATTCAATCTTAACAGGAAAAACTTTGTTTTGCATAAAAAAGTAAATAAACAGAATTTTTTAAATTCCAATTCTCAGAAGTAAGATATTTCATTGTGGTAATATGATTTATAATATTACATATACTATAAAATTATATATATTTTTAATGCTTTTAATTTCTACAAACATTAAATTTATCTAACAGTTATTACTTTTGTAGACTGTTCATCTTCAGATATTTTTATCAGAATCATATTAGCATTTTATGAATGAAATGAAAATTAATGAAAACATATGATAAAAAATTAATTTGATACACTTTTGATAAAAATTAATTTGAACACAAAAATTAACACTTACTGCTTCTTGTTTTTGTTCCCATCCAACTTTGATCTTTGTATGGTATCTTTTTAAGGTCCTGCCCTGACTGCACTGCTAATTCTAATTATAAAAAGAAAATTATATCTTTTACTAAAAAATAAATAGTGAAAATATATTAATATGTTTAATTATTAGTAAATATCATAATAGTCTGTTTTAATAAATTTTTAATAATTACCATGAAGTTTTTGTGCAAGCTGTCCTTTGCATTTATCCAAAGGAATTTCCCCATATCGGTTTGCTACAGACACAAGTGCACCATTATTTATTAGATCCTAAAATAAAAACTTTTCAGGTTAATTCTTGTTTTTCCAAATACAGTAAATATCAAATTAAATTTAAATTTAAACTAAGCTTCATTTTTGAGAAGAGTTGATGCCAATTTTCTTTGTTTTGCATTATGGCATGCTTGTCTGAGAAATGAATAAAAGTTGGAACCATATTTAAATAAAACCCATGTAGACATATATACATATATATTTATTACTTAAGAAAATATATAGCTTATTTAACAAGCAAATNATTTATTAAATATTCTTCGTCATCGACATCGTTAATAATAGCCGTAATTGTCCGTTATAGGACACGGCCATCTCCAGTGTTTCCTTTCTTCTGTTAATATTATTCATTTTTTCCTATTGTTTAAGTGGTCGTTTCGCTATTTTCTTTACGGTCTTCCTCTCTCTTACTTCCATTTGTTCTTATTATATTCGTAATATTATATAAGGATATTTCCGTCTTCCTTTAGAAAATCTAAAGAGGGATCAAATGTCATCCGCTTGAAAATATCGACAAGACATAACTTGTTTCTAAATTTAATTTTTTTTTTCAAATAATTAAGATTTTATTTTACTTTTAAATTGTTGTTAATGAAAATATTAAAGTTTATACAAAATCCACAAAGAATCATTGAAAACAATTCAAATTTTAATTTTAATTACTGCATACAAAAAAGACAGGTAACCTTTAACAATTTTTTTTTGTAGCAAGAAAATTGAAAAATTTATCGTGCCATTATGGAGATAAATCTACGGCCAAATAAGCAAAATGATCTGTTAACATGCCACAGTTTCTTCTTCATTTGCTGAAATATAAGTAATATTTTAAAATTTTTATAAGAGCTCATATATAAGACTGGATCAATAACTAATCAGCCATAAGAACAGCATGGCAGATTGCCGATTGCTTATTTATTGATCCACTCTTACAGTTACAAATATATAGGAAACTAACGTTGATGAAAGGTTCGCAAGCCCTCCATATATATATGGAACTGTAAAAATACAATCTCCTCGGGTTAATAAGTGGCATTGAGTTCTTTTCGTGAGTTAGAAAAATCATATTAGTTGCGGCATTCTTCCTGACGGGCGGACATCTTTGATACCGCTGACCAGCTGCCATTTTTAATTCCTTTTTGTATACACGTAAATCGCCCTTGTTTACTTTTCGTGTTTGGCTTGTCTTCGTATGCTTATCGTAAACTAGGCAAAGAATTTTCAGAAATCATTTTATATGTAAATACGCTATCGCTTGCTAATCCGGCCAGTCCTTAGTTGTGCCGGATTACTGGGTGTATGTCTAAAAACAATGAATGACCATCTTTCGCCTTTTAGTACTGATTCCTTTTGGGAAGCAGGCGGTCAAATACTCGTAATAATCACGTTAACATGCAAAACTGTACACAGAAACGAACACGAGAAAACGGGAAGACAGGATTTGTAAGATTTTCATGGAAACTTAAGTGATTACACTTGGAAATACGCCGAGTAATTAAGAGGCCGGATTAGCAAGTACATAAATTCGAAACTTTTCTTACTTTTAGACTGAATCTTGTAGTTATATGGACCATTATCTCCTTTGCCGTTAATTTCATTTTTTATTTTGAATTCTGGAATTTTTCTGTCTTGCCAAAAATTTAAGTCATTATATTTATGTTCAGGATCGTACTAGAATATTTAAATTTCGTTAATGTGTTATAACAAATTTATCAAATTATGTACATTGAAGCCTTACTTCGGGAATTTCTGTATTGTTTTCGACCGCCATTTGAGAATTTTCTCAGCTATAGAATAAAATATATTCCTAATTTCTGTTTTATTAATATTCCTTTCGTAGATGAGATAGCTGCAAGAATAAATCTCAGCAAAATAACGCTTTTATCTCCTTAATGACAAATACAATAATGTTCTTTTGAATCTCAATTATTAGAGTATTGTTAAAATTTTTAATATTCATAATAAACAATTGTTTTAGCATTAAACATTGGAACACTTCAAAACCATTTGAAGTTACTTTTTTTTATTATTAAAATTATTTAACCATCATGAAGAATAACACATTGAAAAAAGTTGAGGTTGAATGCATTTGTCAGTAAACAGATCAGTGAAACGTAGTACTACTATAAAAATTTTAGATCGGTATCGTAAGAATAAATGTAGATAGGACTCATAGTTGAATGGTTACCTTATAAACTCCCACTATTCAAGCATTCTTGTCACACACCGTTAATCAAGAATAGTCTAAAGACGTTTATCTGTGATGTAAATGTTATATTAAAATCTTTTTTTAAATAAACAACACTAAAATTAATTAAAATAAAACATTTTAATTAATACATTTAAGACAAATCTTAGTATATTATATAATTTCAAAACTCTACGATTATCTTATTTGAAAATAAGCTCTTTTTTCATTGCATAGGAGCCAATAATCACATTAAATTTAATAGTTATGATATATTATTGTACTTAATATTTGAGTATCTGAAAATTAGAGATTCTTTGTTTAAAATTCTTTAAAGTTATGTACAATTGCAAATCTTGGCTGTTTGATACAATTGCTTGTTAGTTAACCTTATTCCGTAATACAAAAATATATATATATATACTTATATAGCAATAGGTTTATAGTAACAATAAATTTTAGATCATTAACACTATTCGGTATACATAGATACAACTTATTTGTTATATTTATATATGGCACAAATATCACTTAAACTACTAGCATTCAAAATATAAATTCTAAAAACAATATTTGCAAATAATAAAGAAATGATTCATATAAAAAACATATCTTTGAGCACTTTTTCAGCAAGTTTTTTCTTTTAAACGAATGTTATCAGCTCAAACAAGCTATCATTCCTATTTAGAAATGTAAATTTGGAATCTTTGATAGACCCAAGTCAGGATTATCAAGGGAATCAAAAACATTTGTTGCAAAAGGAAAATATTACTGAAAAAGTACTCAAAAATAATTTTTTATATGATTTAAACTCTCTTCCTATTTTGATTCTATTAAACTAAAATAAAGAAATGATTCTAACATAATAAATGAAAAGATAACCAATAAAAGCATTTAAAAAATCAGTAAAGTATTTATATATAAAAATGAACAATTCTTCAGTAAATTAAGTTAGAAATTATTGTAAAATTATCAAAATCTTTTACATAATCTTTTTAATGAATTCAGTGAAAAATTAACTAAATTATTTCAAAAAACATTTTAACTGAATTAATAAAGCTGATTTCAGCTGAGCATTTAAATGAANGACTGACGCTTCCTGCAGGCGGGAAAAAATTCAGGGTTGTGCATGACTGTCCCCTCCACAACATCACCGAAGGAGGCCTGTCGCGCATCATTGGTTTACGCGGGAAAAAAAAAGGTCCGATACTTTTTGAACAGACCTTGTATGTTGGGGAGGAGACTACTTTGAAGGGGACCCTGACCAATAAATTGTAAGCAAAGTATATTTTTTTATAATAAATAAAGTTTGAGAACTTTTTGAACAGACCTCGTACAGAGGAAAATGAGAGAGAAAGTATCCTTCAAATCACTGAACTATTTCTTTTATTGATCCAAGATTAATTCTCTCTCCTCTTTGATACACAAAATTAGGCAAAATTATTTCTTTTAATGATTCATTAAGCTAATAAAATTGATGAACACTTAAAACGATGCAATATGAGTACAATTAATAAATGCATACAGTACATAAGGTATATTAATGCCTAGAGACAGTATTCATTAAAATTTAAAAAAGGAAATTTACTTGTCAGCATTTGCAATAAACTAGTTTAATTATGCAACATTATAATAATAAGAACACACCTGAATTCTATTTGCCAAGTTTTTTTTAAAATTTTTGAAATGTGTTATTTTAACACATTTCAAAAATTCAAATCAAAATAAAATTTGAACAAATGGTTTCATTTTGGAACAATGAATGAAAACCTGAAGATGGCGTATCCAAATAGACTAAAAATGTTTGAAATAAAGAGAAAAAACTCAGCACATAGAATTCAGGTGTGTTCTTATTATTATAATTAATATTGCTGAGAAGGAAATAGATATGCAACATATGAAAAAATTTATATACAGTAGATCCCCCTATAAGACGGTAGATACGTTCCGTTCTTTATGAATCAATTTTGTAGGAATCATAGTTTACGGACTATGGCTGTTTGAAAGGTTTTCTTTCATAAAATTAATCGATTCTAGACTAATTTGACTCAACATTTCCAAAATACGTATATTTTTTTAAAAATAATCCGTATAAACTATGTTATAAACAAAAAATTGTAGGATTGCTTACCGAGTGTGTACCGTTCGTCTATGCCCGTTGCTAAAGCTTGGTTTCGTCGCGGAACAGCGCATCAAACCGC